ACTCTGGCCACTGGCCGTCACTTATCTATAAATATTTATGAATTATTTAGTCATATCTTAGCCAAACGGCCCACACTAAAATCGCTTAGCGCCTTATTAAGTTTTTATTTTTTTTGGCCCACTTGCTCGTTTGCTGACTGTCCACTCTTGCGATTGTCTGTCTTTCTGTCTGACGGTGCTTTAAAATTGATTACAAAATCACTTAACCGCCACCGGTTTGGCTGCCGTTCGCTGCTTACATTTTACGCATTCATTAGTGTTACGGATAATTGAATTTACTTATCGCGAAATTCATTCATTCATACATTAATTGCAAGTCAAGCAGCAACGACAAGGCTGCATCGTCATCATCGCCATCATCATCACTTTGGTTGACAAATTTCTCAATTCCCCGTGGTGATTATTGTTTAGAGCTTAAACTGGTTCTTAACTCGGCCTCAGTGCTTTAAAAATATTTACACCGTCATGGAAGAACAGATTTGCTAATGGATTTGAAGATGTTTGAAGGTGTATCGACAGATGCATACTACGTAAGCCTCCCATGTGGTGATCGTATTTTAATATCAAGTCTACTAGATTAGTGAAAAGTGTGTAATAGTTATAAGAAAGCGTTTCCGACCATATAATGTAAATATATTTTAAACAGCTAAGTAACAGGTATCTGATATTCGATACTCGACTACACAGTTCTCCCTCGTTTCTTACTAAGTTTTCTTTTCTTTTGGGATTTATAAATTCGTTATAAATTCACTTATAAATTGTTTTTGCTATCAGCACATAAAAAAACTTAACGTTTGTAAGATTAAAATTTGTAACGGACCTTTTTGAAATTATTAGTCATTAATAGTGTGCAAGTGCTTCCAAGTGTATACTTAATTAAATTTAGAATTACCCAAACTTGTGTAAGAACTGCGCTACAAACAATTCCCGAAATTTAGCCAAGTTGTGGCCAAAAGTTTGCAAAGTATTTTCCTTTATTCACATTTACCAAATTTAAAAGTTCCTGTGCAGTCCTCCCATTTTTAAGTTCATTTACTTTCCACTTTGTAGTTCTTGAAACAAATTAAAGTCCTTTGAACGTATCGTATGAGCAGCAAACGTTCGCCTTAGGGAACTTTTACTGTAATTTAAAATGGTTGCAGGTACTCGTTTTACCTTACATCACGGCCTGTTTCTCCCAGGGCTTATTAAAGCTCACTTTACTCAAATGCCCATTCAATTGCTTTGAGCACTTGATCCTGGCTCCTGGTTTTGCCTCTTTCCTGGCACTTTCGCCACTTCAAACGAGATGGCTTCGCTGTTATTTTTATGAACATTATGTGAGCTGAAGGGCCTGTGGCCCTTGGTTCCGGCATAATTGATATGGCATAAGTATCCGTATATACATCCCAACTTTCCCCGCCCTTGAAAGCGTGAGAATTGGCAGCAATCGAGTCATGTGTTATTTACTTATACATATGTAGCGATTCGCTGGTGGAAATTATTGGACACATAATGGCAGGCCGTGTACACACTCTCGTGTGGGAAATACAGATAGTTTGTAATTCATGTCAATTATGTGGGGCTGTTTGTTGTTCTTGTTCCTGGAGGCTTTTTAATTGAATTCCCTGGCAGATGGACCGCGATAGGCACTCGCTCAAAAGTTTGTTTATCAGTTATGGGCTTGGCGATTTATTTACTTGCCAGTGGATACACAATTCACGCATCCCCCAATAACATTTAAGGAGAGCTTAACTGAACGATGCCACACAAAAGTTCACTCAATTGGCTGAAACTGACATTCAAGACGAACAAAACTGCCGCAGATAAATATATTAACTTGGCTAAACAAGTGCAGATAGCTATAATATAAATACTGAAATGGGTCTAAAACTTAAGACATAAGTGACAAATATGTTTATACGTTACAATAATTGATTAACTTCTTTACCAACGTAACTCAATGATTGTTTAAAATTCAAATGCTAGCTCGTTGCACTCATTCAACTTGCTAATATATTTATCTCTGGCGCCATGTGCCCTTATTCGCTATCATATCCACTGATAAGTTTAGATTATGCTGTAAGCATAAGACTCACCTCTGCCAGCGACTTACAGTTGCGAAACGCACCGTCCGCTCAGGTGCACTCGAGGCAGTCTGTTAAACACTAGACAAGCACCTCGAAAAACGACAAGTCGTCGCTGTAGACAAACAATGTAGGTATGTATGTAGCTATACGCAACTAAAAATAAACATGGCACAAACTGTCGACCGGCTTTAATCAATATTTTGCCATTGCTGGCCCGCGCTGGCATTAACAATAACAATATCGGGCTGAGACGACGGACGGTAGCTAATTAGAAAGTTTTCCCAACCAATAAGGTAAAAATCGAGAAGCGAACCAATGCAGAAACAAAAACAGAAGGCAGGGAAGGCAGAGATTGATTGCGAGTGAAATGCTGGCCAACTTACTTGGCCAAAAGTTGGTCACCCCTTCACCCTCCTTTCACCAACTATTCCCATCTTTTTACACCCGGCTTAAGCCCGTTGAGGCGTTAAAAATCATCGACTGCAACTGATCGTTTACCATTTTGACATATCAATATACTGCATATACTTATATGTAGTTATCCAACTGCACAAACCTCTCGCATTTTGTAACTTGGCGCCCTTTCTCTTTTCATAAAATATATCCAGCTAAATGTGTACATCAGCGATTGTTCCCCCGATCCTTCAGTGGCACGCAACATCGATCAATGATAAGACAGTTTGAGTTATGAATTGAATTTATTATTCGATTTTCAGCGGGTGGGCAGTTTCAGACTCAAGATCGCATGGGGCGTGGCTGCTATTTTGTGGGGCGTATAGATTGATGGCCCAAACAATAATTGAATGGGAATGGGAATTATTGGCGCTCTTTCGCGCAAGAAAACAGCGAGATCCATTTCAGATAGGCAGTCTCTATTTGAGGAATTTCAATTACTTGAGTGGAGTTTTTATCGGCCTAATTGTTCTTGAAAACGTTGCTGCTAGTTGCCATCGCACGTGGTTTCATGTTGTCTAATTATTTATAAGTTCTAGATATTTTATTATATATTACGGGTTAAAGAAGTCAATTTTATCACATTAAAATTGTAAATAACCATAAATCTTGAACAAGAGGTTATACATAAGCTAAGTTTGTTGGATTAGCCTTCAAAACAGCAAATCAACTTGTCCCTTTAACCCCAAAACTCCCCCACAGATTGCACCTACCAGATAAGCGCCGTCTACCCCCAACTTTGCTACAAAATCCAATCAAGCAATAAACAAATGGAAACCCATTAACCAAAAAAAGAGCAAAATAGCAGGAATAACAAATTGCAAACTGTAGTTGGAGTAATTTTTTACGGGCGTGCGCATTTCTGACTCCGTGTGTCTGTGTTACTTGGAAAGACTTGCATTGGTGTTGGAAATGTGTGCTCCACAACCCAGAAAGCAATTCCAAGCTGAAATATACAAAATTCAAAAAATCAACCAAAACCGACACATGTGGCCAAATGCAAATGCGCACTTTGTCGCATTCCAAGCCCAGCTGGTCGAGTGGATTTCGATCCGAACTGGTGGCTTTGCCGGTTTTAAGCCGCAGACAAACCAGCGACAGTCATGGATACGCCTAATGCCAATTGGATTTCGAAAACTGTTGAATGCTTTACTTTAAGACCCGCAGATTATTCTTGTTCTAGATTAAGAATGGAAATAGAATTATTTGTAATTTCATTTCATATGCTTGTTTGGGTCAATCAACAAGAAAGTTTTGAATTAGTTTCTTATTTTTAACTTATTGATGCATTGCAAAAATCATATCGATTTGAGCTTTCAAGTTAAAGCTGCCTATTTCAGTTCCCCAAATATTACAAGTCTGCCCTATTATTATTATTTGTAACGAATACAATATACCCTCAGTATGTTCGCCGACGGCTATTGTAGCAACCCACTCACATTAGATTTCTCGCACAAATTGGTGCGGTTCGTATCTAAACCGAGTCTCAATTACAACCGAGCAGAGCCCCCTCCCCCGTTTTTCCACCCACCACCCCCCTTCCGGCGGTTGGGAGCTCATTAGCTGCCACGCCCTCGCTCCCCACTCGCTTTTCCACCAGTCCCCTCGGAACTCGGCCGACTTTGCATTCGCTTGATCATTAAATGCTTAACCAAATGAGTTACAGCGATATATCTGTGGTTCTGAATGGGGTGTGTGCCATCACTTTGTTGTTATCGGACACTGGGAGAAAACATCTTTGACTTTTATCGTGTTTTTGAGTTCAGACAGCATTATTATTGACACATCTTGGAAGTATTTACTGTAACTAGCTGACTTCCTCCATCGATTGCTTTATAAATTCAAATTCATTCTAGCTCGCACATCTTCTGTAGATCTCACCAATTTCTTCCAGTGCGGGCATATTTTTCTCTGACTACCAGCAACATGTGGTCGTCTGTTTGTCTCAGTTTTTAAGTCGCTCTTGCGAGCGAAGAAAGCATGGAAATTGTTTCAGCAATGTGAAATGGGGGCACGAGTTCTGAGCCCTCGAAATAATTGCCCTTCCCCAATGGGGTTAATTTTTGAGGAGGGGTGCAGTTGGATCATCTGTGGAGTTTTCTGAAATTATCTCTGAGCATGTGTGGGAATAAATGCATACTGAATACTTTTGAAACGACTTTCGGCTTCATTTTACAGCCGTAAAATATATGCAAAGCTAGCTTAACATAACATTTATATAGCCGAACTCAAAATATCTCAAAATATAAAGAAAATTACAAATAAACCTAAACGACCACTTGTAGAATTTGAATAAAAAAAAATTGTAAAAATTGATTTATTTAATCTTGCATGAATATTGATGAATAATAGGTTTCCTATAAAAGTATTTCCCTTTTTCATGTATTTTTACCCCTTTAAAAGATGCTTTCAAGATAGTAATAATTTTTTGTATCCACATTCTGTAAAACATTCCGAAATATGTATTCACAATCTTACCAATTAAAATTCCGGGTTCCATAGTCGTATAATCCCTAGTTCGCCTAATCCCAGTAGCGAATTGGTTTCGTTTCGATAAAAGTCAAAATCACCAACATAAAACCTATGCTTCTCAAGGTCGTATCGAATCGAATCATAAAATCGTTGAATCACATGGACACAATTCGGGTTATTTATTTCGTTTTGATTGATATGCTTCGCATTTCGTTTGTTACCACTTTCGCACCATTTTGTTTTCTTTACCGCTTCGTTTCGCAATATTTCGCGTTAATTACTAAAAATCGAAGGTGTGCCAAGAATTCTACAAAGACCTAAAATCACAATTGCAGAATGTCGAAAACTAAAGGTGACACCTGTGTTGTTTGTTTTCTTATTAGACTTTATGTTGACTTTCCCACCAAGAAACAAATATCTTTTGCGCATGCGCAACGGCAAAATAAACAGAAGAAAGCATGGAGAAGGAGGAGGCAGAGAGAGAGAGAGGAAGTGAGCAGGAGTCACGAAACTACCGTTAGGTTTTCCTCTGCTTTTAATGAGTTTTTGTGTTTGTTTGCCTGCCATTTGTAATTTTAACAAGCTGCGTTGTTTACCAATTTGATTGTTTTATTTACCTTTTCCCATTTTCTTTATCAATTTCTCAGTCCCATATCTCTCTTTATCTCTCTCCGCTCTCGCGCTCTTCAAAAAGCAAACACCGGTTAACGGGGAACGCTGGAAATTACGGAACAGGCGGCATAAAAGCGAAAACCAGAAATGGGACTTGTGGCAAGTGAAACAGCAACACTTTTGTTGTTGCTATCGTGGGTAATTTGTGAGTCAAAGAATCAAGAATGTGTGTATGTGTGTGCTTGTTGGAAAAAAAGAGTTAAAGCCTCTAGAAGCCCATTAAATTCAAGGCAAAATCCCAAGTTTGGCACTCTAAATGCGATTTCATGCACTTTGCTGTAGAAATTCCTTTGGGTTTTTATTATTTCTCCGCATTTTCACAAACAACTTGTGGTACACTCACACACGCGCACAAACTCAACACCTTGAACTTGCGTCAGCTTTTTTTTCGCTCTTTCCCATTATCTTTTCATTTTCGGTAACTACTTTCTGTGCCTTTTTCAATTAACTAACTTCGTTTAACCCTTGGTTATTAAACTTTCAAAACACGCACTTGCAGCCAATTTTAATTTTCCCTTGCTGCTTCTTTTGTTACTTTTTCTTCTCGGCTTAAAACGACGGCGCGCACAAAAAAACCAGTAACTTCATGTCGTTTTTCCGACGCGTTTCTTTACACTTCGAAGTCAAAGAGCGATCTGAAACGCGATCGTTTTCTCTCTGTGAACGATGATCTTATTGGAACGGCTTGCAGCCCAACTATTTAAAGCGCGTGTTTCAGTCCAGCTGTTTCGCGCTCAGAGAGCCAGAGAGAGAGTGAGAGAGAGAGCTAAGGGCAGAGCATTGAATTTCAATTAAAATCAAATCGGAATTAATTGAAGGGCTGAGCACAGTGGGCTTATTTTTCATTTTTAATATAAATAAAATAATACTTGATGGAAGCAAAAAAAAAAAAAAAATGGTTGATACCGAATCTTGCCACAAACGAATTCCCTTCAGCAAGGTTTTTGAATTATAGGATCTTAAAGTTGCCATAAAAACAGACGCCAACCACCGGTAACAGATTCTTGGTGCGGAAACTACCAACTAGGGATTTTCAATTTTTATCCATAACCATTAAAAACACAGCAAGCCTTGTTCCAAACGCCCCTAATATTTGCACAGTTGAAGCCTGACATACGGTCAATAGTTTCGGTAAGAACTCTATTCCAAATCAGGCCCCAAAAATTGAAATCTTTTTCGGCCCAAAACAACTCCACCAGACATCCAAGTCTTAATTCCCAAAAGATGTCCCTAAATCGAGGAAGCAAGATGCTCCTGCGGGCGATTACGCCCCAAGTGTTGAGGCGTGGCAAGGCGGACTATGGCAAGACGGTGTGCAACCTGAAGATCAACAAGCAAACAAAGGTTCTGGTGCAGGGATTCACCGGCAAGCAGGCCACTTTCCACTCGGAGGAGTCCATAAAGTACGGAACCAATATAGTTGGCGGCGTGAATCCCAAAAAGGGCGGTACGGAGCATCTGGGCAAGCCGGTTTTCAAATCAGTGGCAGAAGCTGTGGAGAAGGCGAAGCCAGATGCCACCGTGATCTTCATACCACCTCCATCCGCCGCCGAGGGAATTTGCTCGGCCATCGAGAGTGAAATAGGCCTGATTGTGGCCATCACCGAGGGCATTCCCCAGGTGGACATGGTTCGTATATTGCAGATGCTGAAGTGCCAGGAAAAATCCCGCCTGCTGGGACCCAACTGCCCGGGAATCATCTCCCCGGATCAGTGCAAAATCGGCATAATGCCGGGAGATATTCACAAGCGAGGAGTGGTGGGCATAGTCTCGCGTTCAGGAACTTTGACCTACGAGTCCGTCCATCAGACCACCAACGTGGGATTGGGTCAGGCTCTTTGTGTTGGCCTCGGCGGAGATCCCTTCAACGGAACCAGCTTCATAGACGCCCTCAAGGTATTTCTTTCCGACAAGGAGATCAAGGGCATTGTCATGATCGGAGAGATTGGCGGATCCGCCGAGGAAGAGGCCGCCGATTTTCTCAAGGAGAAAAACACAGGCTGCGAGGCCAAGCCAGTAGTTGGCTTCATCGCAGGACAGACTGCTCCTCCGGGTCGCCGAATGGGTCATGCCGGCGCCATCATTGCTGGTGGTAAGGGAGCGGCCAAGGACAAGGTGGCCGCCTTGGAGAAGGTGGGAGTTCGCATGACCGCCAATCCCTGCCACCTGGGCTCCACGCTCCTGGAGGAAATGATCCGTTTGAAACTGGTGCCCAAGCCGAACGAAAAAAAGGCGCAGGCTGGCAAGAAGTAGGAGTAGCGGGATAGCTTCTTAGTCCCAATAAACTAATTTTGTGCTCATTAAATTGCTAAAATATCTAAAAAATTCATCAGTACAAATGTGTATTTCGTGCAGATCGACATAAGCAATGTTTTAGGAGTGTTATGACAATGAAACATCCAGAAAAGGCAATTATTCAATTGATTGGGGATTTGTTTTGATTACAAAATTGCTCATTTGACACCCTAAGATATTTCCAAACTGAAATCTAGCAAAATTTCTTTTCTAAATGCAAACGATTTCCCCGCAGTGGCTGGCATTTTATCATGCGCCGCATATCACAAAAGGTTCGCTTCCATAAGCCTACAGCAAATACAAGATAAGCGAGAAAGAATTTGGCCAAGGCCAAAATGGAGAGCAGACTCACCCATTGTCTTCACTCGGAATTCCTCGTAGTCCATCAGCGGAGGAGTTTCAGCTCCTCGGACGGTGTCCAGGAAGTCCTCCTCGCTGTAAACCGAGTCGTAGTCGCTGGGATCATGCATTTTTATTTACTATCACTGCAATTATCACTAGATATCTGATAGACACCACTGTTGCATACTCTTCGGCAGCACAGAATATTCACTGGGTATTCAGTTTGCTGGGAATCTACTTTTTGGGAAAGGCACAGGTTGCAGGAAGTGCAGTCAAGCGTAACGATAGTCGTGGGGACTTATGGCACCCGGAGCCACCGATTATGGAGGATCGAGAACCGAGAGCACCGACAACCGCATGCGCTTCCAATTTAAACACGACTAAGGTGAGTCGACAGTTGTGTACCGCCGTTCTGTGTTCTCAGCTAATCAAGAGCAAATACTACGAAGGCTATCAAAAACAACAAAAGAAATCTACAGACTGATTAGAATATCAAGTGGGATATCTTGGAGCGAGCCTCTCGAGCACCAGATACCCTACACTTTTATACCCTCGATTAAATGCAGTGTTGCGTTTTTTCCAAATCGAATTACTACTCACTAACTTGAAAAGTGTATGTACACGATAGCATATCTGTGACTAATCTAACGCCTTTAACTGTCCAATAATCGAGTATTACGAATATACTGCAAAATGTATTTATAAATAGTATATAGTAATTATAAAATAGTCTGGTATACCCATAAGATATTTAATAATACCAGGTACAAAAACATTTGCACTGAGAGCGCGTGCTATCTCCGCTCTCACTCTTTCTCAGCGAAAGTATTTAGGGGAGTTCCTAATGGTTGCGAGTGCAAGTGGGAGAGGGGATATATCTTATCACCAGTGTATAACTTGGACTGCGATAGCTTACGACTGTCAACTGCCTGAAATTCCTCCAATTAATTAGCCGTACATTAAATTTGTAAAGGTTTGGGGTGAGAAAGGAAATGTGGAAGAAAAATGTTTGTAGATTTCCCATTCCTCAAAAAAATTTGATAGCGTCGGTAATAAATTCGGCGATAGAAATCTTAAAACGCGAATTGGTACTTGGCAATCATTTATAAGTATTAATTTATAAGATAAGCTTGCCAATATTTTTCTAACACAGCTTCAACCATATACAATACACCCCCTTTACATTAATAAAAACTCGCTTGATGGTTTGTTGTTTAAAACAGCACACCAAAGAAATAGCATCATTGGAATGTTAAAAATTTTATTTAAATTTTGTTTCGCCTCTGCTTGTATGTTTTTCTGCAATTCTAATTATAATGCATTTACACATAGACTCCGTTGTGTTGAAGGGTGTTTTTCTCATAAAACTCGATTTAATTTACTGTATTTAATTCAAACATTAATTGTGTTTTGGTATTGCGTATAGTTTTATATAGCATTTTTTTGTTTGATTTTTGAAGAGTACTTTCTCTCTTGTTGCTGGCGTATTTTGTTTGCTACAATTTTTCAGTAACTGATATGTTTCGTTTGCTCGTTTCATTCAAATATATTTCAACTATTTCTTGTGACTTTAGGTGGTTTTGTTTGCTTCTAAATTGACTAGCAACCTAATACAAATGTTAAATTAAATGTGTAACATAAATAACTTTTAAATTAAATTTGATTAAGCTTGTTTCTTTGATAAAAAAGTTGTTTGAAGATTGGCTATTGTGAAATTGTTTCAGCGTTTTAAAAGTTCAATGGGTCAGTTTTGGTATTAAAACCCTGAAACAAGTAACAATTTTGTTGAATGGAATTGGAAATAAAGACGAACCAAAACTAACGAGAAATGAAAAATCTAATATCAAGTGCAAAATTGTCTTTGGTGTGTTTAGCCATAAATATATTTATATATAATATTCTTAACGTTATTCAATTTCAACTTTCTTTTCGCCTTCATATTTGATATGTTTTCAATTGATATGTTGCATATATTTTGTGTTAATAGATTTTTGTGTAATTCTAACTTTTACAGTTTGTTTCTTCTTTTGCAAGATTTCTGCTGATATGTATACGATATAAGTTCTGTGGCTTACAATTAGAAAATGTCTGTTTTGTATATAGCAATAGTATATTAAAATTTTTTAAAAATATTCACAGAGAAAAACTTTTTTTTTTTGGTTTTCATTTTTGTAGATATTTAAATTATTTAAAATTTACAGGCGAAGGTATTTTGATGGAACCCAAAAAACAAATTATCACTTTGTTGGTTTTATTTTTTGTGTTTCCATTTCATTTGCATCGATTATGGAATTCGTAGTTTGTCTTCTTTATTTACATGGGGCATATCCTCACATCCTCTTTTAATCATATTCATATATATATATAGTTCAATGGATCAGTTTCTTTTCATTATCATTCTTTTAATATTACTCTTGACTTGTTTAAGTTCATTCGAATAATATATACTCGTAAATATATTTTGAATAGACGACTATATAGGTAATTAAAATGTTTTTCTGTTTTTCTGCTTTCTGCTTTCTGATTTTCTTTTATTTCAATAAATAATTATAGTTTACTTTTGCTGTAGTTGTTGTACGACCTATCAGCTAATTCAAGGTACTTATAACTCCATTATTTTTCGGTTTAATCTAAAGAATCTTCCTTTAACATTGGGTTCTTAATTTCTCCTCTGCTTCCTATTCGTTTTAGTTACTTGCCACACTATCTGGTCAACAATTCCGTGCTCCATTTGAAGAATATTTGAATTCGAGAATTCTTAGGCTAGGTAGTAATGTGTTTTTGTATTTCGAGAGCCAGTTTCAGGATTTGCTTAGAGAATATTCCAAATTGTTTGGGTCAGTTTTAGTTCTTTGGCAAATCGAAACTGGACCTGAAAACGGAGAATCGCACATTGGTTACAGCTGCTTTTGTTTTTTCTTCTAAGAAATATATATATGCTGAAAATTGAGTAAGGTTGTGTGTATTATTTTTAAATTAGGGTTAGGCTTTATAATTACGTGGTTTGAGTATGTAGCTTGAGATCTCTCATAGATATATTTAGACACACAAAACGTTCCGTGAATTA